TTCACAGGGACGGAACTAAAACAGTAGTAAACCTGGAAAGTTCTAATTCTTTGTCTGATGCAACAAATGTAGCCAATAAAGAGGCAGAAGATAGAAATTATTGACAGTTCCTTAGATAAAATCTTAAAACATTGGGGATTCAAGGCATTATACCTTCAGAAACATCTAGAAACAGAAATAAAAGTAAAGTTAGCAGTACTTTCTAGTCCATCCAGTAAAAGAGAGATATGCAGTGAAAGTTGAGGAGCCCATGCAGAACATCCATAAGCATGTAAAGACACCATAATCCATCCTCAGTCAAGTCACGTTGAGGTCTAGAGGCTCAAAGAAAGTCCTAAAAAGATTAAAGGACATGATCTTTATCTAGTATAACAGAAAGAATGTTTGTGAGCAAGGATGGAGAGAAAGCTGGCCACTACTCAGATAAAATAATGTACAGAGGAAGCCACAAAGATGCCTGTTAGTAAAACTGAGCAGAAAGATACAGCAATCTGCAAAGAGAAACGTGCTTGAGGTTTAGGAGCCAAAATTAGGTCCCTGTCACCACTAAAATGCAAGGGTCTAATTCTTTGTCCTAATATAATAGCAGAGAACACATCTTTGGGGAAAGATAGGGAGAAAGAATTTTTCCTTTAGGAAAATCTAGGTGAGGAAGCAGAACAAACATGAAAAAGGTAGTCGTAAATCAGGATTTATTGTGTTTGAATTCTGGAAAAATTAAGATCTTACTAGAGAGATGCAAAGAATTGATCCCTTACTCAGAGTAACAGAAACACTTCTATAAATAAGAACAAAGAAAAAATGTTGACAGTCCTTTAATAAGAGGAGAAACTTACCTGACTCAATCAGATAGACGTTAGATGCAAACAGAAGACAAAGGACTTTGGAAAATACTTAACCCACCAAAGGAAGAAAATCCATGCGAAGGGTGAAGCCCTAAGCCAGTGATGTTAAATCACTGCAAGTTTGGTGACAAGCACAGGTATCCGTACCCCCATGATAGAATTTTTATGATAAAATCTAAAAAGTGAATTCTGTAAATAAAAGCTAATAAAATTAGGTTCTATATGTACTTAAGTATAACCACAGAATTCACCTGACATTTGATTATAGGTGAAAATTTAAAAAGGAATACTGTAACTTTTCTAGTATTAACCACATGAAAGAGAGGATGGCTTGATATTTTGCAATTTGCTGATTACTGAGTCGCTCTCTAGTTGATAAAATACTTTCCTTTAGTCTACCAGTTAATAATCAATGGACAAGAGGATAATGAAAAAGTAAACTGTAAACCCTGAATTCAGATATAAACTTGCCAAATATTCTATTATTAATTGATTTATGAAAACTTTTTGGAGAGTCTTACTGCTTATATCTTTGTGTCTCTCAACCTGGAAATCCGTATTCTTTTTAATTCATGAAGTTTTTATAAATCTGAACATATTTGTGTTCCTCACCTATCAGTTTCAGCTCAGAATTGTTTCCTTCTTAATTCCACTTGAGAGAAACTATACATAAAATACAACACTCAGGTACTTAGCAAACTGCCTTTTAACTGTTAAGCAAGGCCATTTCCTTAATACTCCCCTTGGCCTTTACAATTGGATATTGTTTTCTTTATATAGCACACTTCATGCACTCTGGCATGATTGCCAATGCCATTTTCCATAGCTGAAGCAGATTCCCATTTGCAAAATGTGGCGATTAACAGCCTCTTAAAACTCATTCTCTTCGAGAAGACATTCCCCGATTATGACAGTGAGCCACCCATAACAAATTGCTTCTGAGCAACTGGTGGTTCTACACATGTATTTTATATGTAGACATGAGTGTGTGTGTAAATATTAGATATATAAATATATATATTTATATAAATTATATCTAAGATATAATTGAGTGTATTCTACATTCTAGATGCCTTACCATATTCAGTGACAACAAAATATGCTTGGAATGTTTTAGGATTTGAAAATCAGGAGAAAGGCTCAGTACTGAAGACCTTGACACTCCCAGATGAGTTTGGTTAAGATATATGTGCCCTAAAATTAAACTTATTTTCCATATTAATTCCATTCATATTCCAGGCCATAAATTAATGTTCTATTTATGGTTAGAGAACTCATATATTTTCAACAATATAGAATATTAAAAATCAGTATTTCATTGTGAATTCTTTTCACGATAGAATAACTATTTTCTATATTAACAAACATGTAATTATTCATAGTAAGTTCTGGCTATGCAATAAATAATTTCCAGGTGAAATCTATAAAACTAAGCATCAGACACTGCTTTAGTGTTTTTGGTTTTTTTTTTTAACGTGGTATGGGGCTTGAAATCAGGGTCTTCACCTTGAGTCACTCCACCAGCCCAATTTTTTGTGATAGGTTTTTTTTGAGATAGGGCAAGAACTATTTGCCTGTGCTAGTTTCAAATTGCGATCCTCCTGATCTCTGCCTCCTGAGTAGCTCAGGATTACGCAGGCGTGAGCCACCAGAGCCCAGCTGGTGCTTTAAAAATATTCCTACCCAGTTATTCCAACGTTATGAACACATAGGTTCTGTGTAGGTTAGCATGGTCTGAGATATGCTCATTTATCACTAATAAAAATATTGTAACTTTTTTCACAAAATTAGGCAATAAAGTTGAGCAAAACTGTACTTGGTAAGTCAATGAACTGAGAGAAAAAAATATAGTAGAGTCAAATGCATTTCTGGAGATGTAAATAAGTTTGTGAGTTGGACAGAAAAATGTAAGTGGAAAAGCTACTACGATTTTAAAATTCAGTAGGCCTCACTGCATGATTGGTATAAAGTAGAATTACCATTTTATACAGATGCTGCATTTTAGGGAGAGCGATGTTCCATAGTTGATACAAGGGGCGCATATTTGATCTACATCATAAGTGCATTTACATAGGCGTTTGTTGTAAATTTACTTAAGATGTTAGTGGTAAGAACATATAGGCTATGTTTCAGATACAGGTGAATTTTAATAAATGTCTAAAACCATGTACTCTTAACAATAAATCAGAAAAGAAAATGGCAACTTTCCAGTGCATTTGAATGGTGGGTAGTTGTATTGATAGCCACGTGTTGAAAATTTACCATATTTAATTATTCATTCAATCACCACTCATTAAATCTTTTATCATTCTCAGCTGATATAGTCTCAACTCCTGATGCTTTTGTCAAAATATCTTTTAAATGACAGAGATATATACATCACATTTTAATATAGTATCATATAGTCACTTTGATAAAATCTGCACAAGAATTTTTATGTTTTTCTGTTTTAATACACTTCAAATGATTTTTCCTTAATGATAGTGTAACTTCATTAGCTTTTAGAGACTTAAAGTAAGCCATTCTTTCATTATAATTTAGACATTTAAAATTTCCCAGAACTGTCGAGACTGTTTCAATCAGCCTTTAAAAGTTTAAAATAATCAAACAAGTCAGATATTTTAAGATTTCTCAGGATTGTCCAGCTGCCTTCATAAGAATGAACAGTGTTTTGGATCCATGTGTGAGATCCATATAGATAATCTTTCGTGATGTAATGCTCACCCTTCTCCAGAGAAAACCCTTGTATTTATTTTCTTTCTTTCCTTTCATGCTAATCACAGACTGTTACGGTATCCAGTTCTAGTGTACTGCTGTACATAGACTGTATGAATATGTACATTACACACAATTAGAATGTTAAACTACCTTTTGCTTAAAGAACATGTCACAGAATGGTAGAACTCATAGGATACTTGGTTTGTTTTTTTTTCTTAAGGGAGGTTGGCTGAATCCTTCTAAAGCACGTTACCGTAAAATTATGGCTTTAAACAAAAGTTACAAGTCTCAAGTTCTTATGTTTTGAATCATATCGTGGAATGTAGTCCAACAAAAAATGGAGGAGAAAGCGTGTAACATGCTTTATGGTATGGCATAGCAATCATCTTTACAGATTAAGCATGTAATGAACGACACAATTAAGACCTAGACTGCACAATGTAGAGTTCTTATAAAAAGTTATATATTATGCCACAGTACTAAAATAAAATATATTCTCAAATAGTGAAAATAAGATATCCTTCATGTTTTTATGTCACATTTCCTCACTGGACCATGCTCTTTTTTTTCACTTTCAACGAAATAATGTCCATCATTTTGTTAAACAATGATGATAGAATGTGAGCAGTTTCCTATTAATGGCCTTTTAAAAAAGTGATATGATGACTTATTTCATCATTAATTTGTTGAACTGCTTTCCTTTTCCGTTCAATACATGGTAAAAATATAAAAATAAAAGACATAAAATAAGTACTGTCTCAGTTTTTGAAAAATCAAGTTCAACTATACCATATCATGAGTACGGTCTGATATAAGTAGCTGCTGTGTCCTGAATGGGTGCGCCATAGTACCCCAACTAACTGTAAGCCCCGGCTGTGACTATTTGCTTGGCCAGGAAGACACGGAAGAGCTTTTGGATCCTCTTCAGGAAAGGGACTCGATCACACCCAGTGTGGCTCCCCAGCCCTGCATGCAGCAGTCACAGGTCTTGGCTCATCCCCGCGGGCTCCTCGCCCATCCTGGAGCCCGTGACCTGTCCAGGGGGGGTGAATGGAGAGGAACTGCACTCTTGTGTCCTCAACCGGGGCACACCGAGGGAAGGGCTCACGTGTTCTCTTGGATTCGGGAGAGAAGCAGGCACTTGCGAGTGAACAAATCCAGGAGGCGGCAAGGCAAGGGTGGGGACGTCCCTGCAGGTCGCGTAGGGGACCTTGGCCACCGCCGCCGCCGACCCCGCGGAGAGTGCCCAGCGTTTTCTGGTACCGATGAAACCGAAGGAAACGCAAGATCCCGGGGGAGCCAGAGGGAGGGCAATGACCCCAGCCCAGGCGCGGGGCGACAGGAGGTTACGCAGGGGGCCAGGCGGGGTCAGAGGCAGCTAGCGGCGGCCGCGGGCAGCCCGGCACCGTGGTGTGGTCCCCGTGGGGTTCGGGGCGCTCAGATGAGCGGGAAGCGGCCCTCGCCGCCGTCGGGGTCCCCGGCACCGCCGCCTCGTGGACGATCGAGCACCGACACCGGCAGCACGACCTCCCCAGGGCTGAGCTGCTGAAGCCTCATGGACTCCTCGTAGGTGGGCAGGTACTTGACCTCCTCGTAGCTGGGCAGCTGGAGGAAGGCGGGCGTGACGACCCGCAGCTCGTGCTCCGAGGCGCAGGACGGGGCCAGGCGCCCGCCGCCTCCTCCCCGGCCTCGGCCACCGCCACTGCCACTGTCCAGCAGCGAGTCCTGCGAGCCGGCGGCCGCCTCGTCGCGCAGCAGAGCGGGCGCATCGTCGTCGTCAGGCGGCCCCGTGTCCCCCGATGGCCCGGCGCCCCCAGGAGGCCCGGGTCGTGCCGGACCGGGTCGTGCCTGGCCGCGCGGGTACCTGCGTGGGCTGGGGCATATGATGCGCTGCAGGAAGTAGCCGATGGCGAAGAGCACGAGCAGGATGAGCAGCCCCGAGAGCTTGCGGACGAACCAGCCCACGTTGTCGAGGAAGGCGTGGAGCGGCAGCTTGCAGCAGCGCACCGCCGTGGCGTTGGCCGAGTCGCAGCAGCGCTCGCGCTCCCCGCACGCCAGCTCCGCGCAGCCCCCGCCGCCCCGCGAGGGCGCCACCAGCGCCAGCGCCAGCAGCAAAAGCAGCGGCAGCAGAGGCGGCGGCGCGGGCGCCACTGACAGGCCCTCGGCGGTGACCCCGGGTCCCCACATGGCGCGCACCGACCTCCCGCTGATGTCCGGGACGCGAGGCTCCGGGGTCCGTCTGTCCGCGCGTCCCTCTCCGGCGTCCCGCTCGATCTCGCGCTCGCGCGCGCGCGCCCCCTCCCGCGCTTCAGCTACCTGCGGCCGGAGCTGTCCTCCCGTGGCCACGCCGGGGCGGGAGGAGGAGCCCGAGGCGCGCAAAGCTGCGGGAGGCGCCGCGGGAGCGGCCCCGGAGCGTCTGACCTTAGCCCGCCGCGCCCAGCCGCCCCGGCCCGGTGCGAGGCGCTCGGAGCCGCCCAAAATGGCAGAGGCGACCCGCGCCCTGCCGCCCTGGGCATCCTGGCCCCGGCCGGCCGCGCCTGTGCTCCTCCACCTTGTCACCCTCCGGGACTGGAAGGGTTAACTCTCGTTTCCAGCCCCTGGAGCCCCTGGATCTTGATTAATTCACCCGTCGTCGCGCTCGTCCCGGCCAGAGAGGCGGGGGCTCTCTCTCACGTAGGTGTCTCAGTTTTAAGTGATTGGATTTCCCCGGGACCGGTATTTAAATTGCCTGGCGACAGGAATTCACTTACCATCATTCTGATTAAAAATGGATGGTGGCCATTAATGGTTGTGCAGTCCCAATGCCATCCTTGAGTTTGGGGAGAGGGGGGCGGTGAACACCGCTGGACAGTTCAGCTTTCAGGCCAGGGAGCTGGGGAGCCGGGACACCCCCTCCCCTCCCCCAGGAAACCTCCAGAACAGGTAAGAGAATTCCTTGGAGAGGCTCGGGACACACACACACACACACACACACACACACACCCACCCACCCACCCACCCACCCAGAACAGGTAAGAGATGGACTCAGGCAGCCCCTTAGAGCTACACATAGAGAAGCCAGGAGCTTGCTGCACACACACAGAAGTAGCCCAAGGGGGACGGGAAAGCACTCTGTCGAGATGACCTGAGTTAACCAAGGAGAGGATAGGGACGCTTATTCTCCGCTGCACCCAAAGCAGGGCGATTAGAGCTTCGTTGCGGGGTGCAAGGGAGGCCCCTCCTCAAGCATGAATAACGTTTATCTGTGAAATGTCAAAGGGGAGCTGTAAGTGGTTGGCAACGGTCCTGCGCATTGATCTGTGTCTAAAGGGTCTTTTTCAAGGTTATTCTTGTTTGCACAGTTTGACTTTAAAGCAAGTCGGTGCTTCACTTAGCACAGTGGGACAGTTTGCCTTACCTTGATCTCACCACCCCCAGGGGAAGCCCTTAGCATATCCTGGATGAATGGCAGTTACCATGCTCCCTGACCGGCAGGCACATCTACTGGGCGATGGACTCAGGCAGCCCCTTAAGAGCTACACATAGAGAAGCCAGGGGCTTGCTGCTTTGAAGGCTGTGTGAAGTAGACATTCCATGATCATTGTGAGAAAAAAGTAACGTCAAAGGAAAATACAGCGATGTACAAGACTGTAGGTCAGTCAGGTAAAAGCACAGCTTTCTTCCCAAGTAAGTGGGGAGAAGTGAACCAAGAAAATGGAGGTGGGAGGGGCGGAGTTGACTGAGACAGACCATTGCTCAGGCTAAAAGAAAACATTTTGAATATTTCTTCTGCTGGGAACACCTTACTTTGCCACACGTCCAAAATGATGTTTTTCTCCCCATGGAGATGCTTCTGTCACTCAGACAAGAGATTTCCTGTGAGGCTTTCTTTGAGCACAGGTCCCTTTTCTTCTAGGCTCTTCTGAAGCTACAGCATTTCTCCAGATGCCATGGTCTGTTTCTCTGTGGGGAGGCCTGACCCTATTTTGTAAAGCCTGACTGACAACGCTTTCAAGACAATGAGATGGAAGTGATTCGTTGTAATACAGCGAAAGTAGTATTCTCCCATTCACTCATTCTTTTGCTAAATTTGTATTGAATAAGTTTGTATATTCAGGAAAAACTCTGCTAGAAGCTCATCATAATAGAGAGAAAACTGACCCCTTCCCAGTGTGGAGTGACTCTAGGACTGCACTCCCAGCTTCAACTAAAGGGAGTAAGGAGAGATTCCTCTTCCATCCTGGTTTGCTCTGATTTTCCCAAAGCAAAAATAAAACGAATGAATTTCAGGCAGTCTCAAGAATAGGGGCAGTTCATAGCTTGAGAATGACTTTGAATATAAAATTGGAAGAAATACAAAGACTTATTGGCCTTTGATTGCCTTATTTTTTTTTTCAAACATTTCTGGCAGTAGTAATACAATGTAAAGGGGGGGGGAGCTGTGTGGCTGCTGCTACACAGGAGAAAGTACCCTGGTTATTATTTTGAAATCACTAAAGAGCAGCATTTAAATTATTTCTTTTCTGTCTGCCTTTAAGGAGTTAGAATTTGCAGACTATTCAAGACACAATAGAAGAACACAGGTCTAACATAAAGTAAGTCACTGAGCAGACTTACGTATATGAAAACAAAGAAAAGGATGAGGCCTGCAAAATGAGCATAGAATGGATTTTTTTGTTTTATGCTTTCCGAAATGATAGTTCCGAAGCTTCATCCATTAAAACCCCTCCACAGAAACTGGTGTCTTCTTATTCTCTGGTCTTTGTTTCACTTAATTCATTTTTATTTGCACTGTAATTTATTGTGTACAGCCTTTTGAAGGAAAGAAAAGAAATCTTATAGCTTAAAAGCCCCAGAAAAACTATGGTCTTCATTACTCAGCATCTTATTGTTTTCTTTATATCTAACTTTCAAATGAATAGGGTAGATTTAAGCTCCCAGAAGGTCATAAATTCAAGCCTTCTAAGTGAGGGAGATGAAAATTATATGTTCCATAGGGGGAAAAAATCATAGTGCATTTTGTTAAAAATTGCAACAAATCATGTTAATAAGTGAGTGCAAGACAAAAAACAGTGGGAGGGGGCTGACTTTATCCTAAACACATGTTCTGTTTGGAGTGTGGTTTCATAAAAATAAGAACATAAACTGAGCCAACTGTGGTGTTGCACGCCTATATTCCAAACACTTGGGAGGCAGAGGCAGGAGGAGCAGGAGTTCAGGGTCAGCCTAAACTCAAAGTGAGACTGTCTAAAACAAAACAGATCCCAAAGCCTATTAACTTCTATCCTGTTATTAGTGCTTGAATGATATTTTTCAACTTTTCCTCTTCTTGATTTATTAATACTCATGTGACTAAATGCCAAATTAGCCACACTTTTCAACTTTTTAGGACAGAAGAAAGTAAACAGAACATAGCAAAACTGGCTGCTATTTTACCTGTGTCTCTGGGAGCTGTCTTGATAGTATGAGAAACCTTTTATTCTATTGCAGGATACTGATCCAGAAGGAAATTCCTCTCTGCAGTCTGCTGACCTGGGGTTCTCACTTCAAGCAGGAGAAGCAATAGCCCTGCCTTTTCATGTCTCTTCGTCAAAACATCCCTGTGTGGGTAGTTGGGACTAGGTAAAGTGCCCAGGCCAAATGAACCTGTTATTCAGGATCTGTGACATAGTTCCCTACTATTACATTATTATAATTGATTTATTGGCCCCCTTCATTTGCAATAGTCCTCCCTGAGCAACAGTTAATTGAGGCCTTTATGTATATTTGCATAAACGTGCCTATGTAGAAAAAGATTTGTGACCCGAGATAATCTGCTTTGGAGTTTTTTTTCAGATGATATTTCTGTCATCACTCAATAAATATTTAATGAGGACTCACTCTGAGCGAGTCATTCTGCTCCACTCTGGGGATATTATGAAATCAAGCCTTTCCCTGTCCTCGGGGAGCTTACTGGGAGAGGTGGGAGAATAGCAGACATTAATCAGTCAAAATAATGAATTGATATTCTAGTGATCAATGCTCCTGATGGGGAGGTGCAGGATGCTCTGAGATTTTACTGGGCCTCCTCTGGGTCATGGGTGGTATGATTGACTGAAGGACCTGTCTAAAAGAGACTTGCCCTAAAAAGGACAGCAAAGCCAGGAGGGCAGGAATCTTCCAGGCAGAGGAAACTCTGAGGAGTCAAGTCTTCAAGGTGGGTAGAGCCTTCTTAGGTCTCTCTTATGCTTGGAACAATTGTGTAATATCTACCTTATCCTTGGTGTCTCCGCCTCTACATTAGTTTTAGGCAATACCAAGCCGTTTCCACTGTCATCCCATTTGAAACAAGACCTTGTTTCCTGCAGGGGTCTAACTGGTTGTATGATTGTAGTTATCTTTGTGTTTAGGCTTGCTCAGTTTTCCCTTGGAGACCAGGAAAGTTTCAGCAACATTTTCTGTTCTTCCCATGTTCACACCCCTGACTTGGAGTGAAATTCCAGTTTCCTCTTTCAACTTTATAAACTTGCAGATGAGCCTCCAAAAGGCTTCTTCAAGCCACATGCTTGCCCTTATGAAAATAATATCTGCATTTACCTTTGGTCTTTCAGCTTTGCAAAGAACTTCCACATGCACTGTTTTGTTTTCTCTGTACTCTATTTCTGTGATATGGATTGACATTATTACCGTTTTTCACAGACCAAGATAGGTTAAAGCTTCTGAATCACAGAGCAAATTAGTGGGCAGTGCTGAAACTGGAAACCTAAGGTCGAATCCCAGGCTAGTTTAAAAGGGTAAGAGGTTGGGGATGTGGCTCAGTGATAGAGTACTTACCCAGCATGCACAAGGCCCCAGGTTCGATCCCCTGTTCCCCACCACCACTCCCTGGCACTGAGTTGGGGCAGGCCAAAGGGACACAGTAGGGGAGACACTTGTCCTTTAAAGCTTCTTATTCATTAGGTCAATTTAAGAAAAATGTAAGTCAAGATAAATTATTCTAGACCATGAATATAAGATTCTTTTGAGGAAATAAACTTTTATTTTTGTCATTTTCAGTAATCCATTAATAATAGTTTAAGAAATAATGTGACAGACCATCTATTTTTAATGCATTTCTGCAAATAAAAACATCCTCCATTACCTTTGATCTTTACCTGTGAAAAAGTCACCTACTGCTCATCAGTATAAAATGATAAATATTTGTGAAAATAAGGATACATTGAGTTCTG